GTGGGGAGGCGCTGCGGCTCGGCTGGCCGGGAGCGAGGGGTGGCTGGGCAGCGATGGTTCGGGTGGACCCCTTTGCGGCCGCCGGAGCGCTCGGCAGAAACGCACAAGTTGTGCCTGACTGCTCTGGCTTGTTTTGTTTTCCCTCCCCTTAGGAAGGAACACCAAAAACACTCTGCCGGCTGCGCTTTTCTCTCCCTCCAGAAGGATCCGGCTAACCTGACGTTGCAGGAGTTCCTGAAGCTGGACAAAGAACGAACAAAAAATGCAATTGTATGTAGCTGTCAGCACTGTAATGTTTCCTAAATCTTGTGAGTTTGAAAAAGCTATTTCAGCTCCTAGACGTGAGGTTGTTTAGCTGGCCTCTTCATTCCTTACTGCTGTGCTGACAGATGGGTTTGCTTCCTCTGTCTCGTGTTGGGTCAGATGGTACGCCCTTTCCTCGTTTTCAGCTTTTGCCTTACAGAAAATAATTTAGTAAAAATGTTTTATTTTTATTCTTTGCAGAAAAAACAAATTTCTCAGAAGGTGACTGAGGTTGAAGATGCGGCCAAGTGCATGCGTCGTGAAATACAGAATCTTGCCTCCTAGGCAACTCTAGCCTCTCACTTGCCTGTGGCGTCCGTCTTGTACAGATGCTCTGACATCGCGTCTTTGACTGAATCAGTGTCTCCCCTGAGGACGCTTCTGGGATGGCCGTATCTGTGAGGAGCAGAACAGCTCTGAATTCTCCTTCAGTCACCCGATTCTGGCAAGGAAGTATGTTGTGTTTGATGAATTGCATGAATAATCTTTTTCTGCAGGGATTCGCCTCTTCTTCCTGTTGGTCTAATTAAGGGTTATTACTTTGTTTGTTTGTTTGTTTTTTGTTGTTTTTTCTTCCTTTTTTTAAACCTAGCTGTTGCTATTTGGAGGATGCTTGTAGCCCCATCGTCAAAACTGTGTTTCCTACAAGGGTTGAAAGTCATTTCCATTCTTTTACTGAACATACCAATGCTTACTGATCCCTTTGGAAATAAAAAGGGGAAGGGGTTTCAAAACTCCTTCTGGGACTTAGGAACATGGCTGCTAATGTCTAAGAATTCATAGCAAATGTTAGTGTGTCCGTTATCTGTACGTTTCTGTTGTAGTTGGCTGCTGCCTTATGTTGATGCATTTATAAATAAAAGTTGAAGGCAAAACAGTGACTTGATTTTACTCAGTTTTCTGAAGGCAAAGAATCTGACCGTTAATGCAAAAAGCTGCACTGAATGCCTTTTTAACTTGAAAATGGAAAATAAGCTAATTGGAGTACAGCTTACAATGCTATCGGCTCAACTGTCAAACCATCTTAAGTAACGTTCATCAGGTTTCCTTAAAATGTCTTTGTGCCTTGGAAGAGTTTTGTTGGTCCTTCTCTTTGCACAAGTATGGAAAAACTCCTTTGGAAAGGAAAAGAAATCTTGCTGAATGGAGCACAGACAGTGAAGAACTGGACTATGAACTGCTGGGAGAGGATGGGAGAATCTTTCACCAAGTAGTTGGCTGTCATGGGGCCAGGGTTGATTCTACGATCCAGTGAAGCCTCTAGACAGAACTAGACAGACGAGTTTAAATTCTCCCAAACTCAAGAGCCTCCAGCTCAATCCTGGGGAAGAGGCAGTTGCAGTCAAACACTGGCGAGACCAATGTTCCTGGATTTTGTAAGTTTGTCCAACATTTCCTGTCCGAGCTTACTTGCAAATAATGAAATAACTTCATTATTTCCAACTGTAACAGCCAAATCATATGCTGATTGTCCTTTTGCATTCTTCTTTTTTATGCTTGCATTGCAGCTGTAAATAAAGAACAGATTATTTTTAGCTACTTAAATTAATTCCAAATTACTGGCACTAGTAAAGTGGCTTCTAGGTAAATACTAATGTAGAGTCACTTCAGAATTTCTGGAAGTCTCTTTCTGCAAGGACGGAACGCTGAGATGAGAGCGTTCAACTGCTTGCAGGCTGTGCTCCTTCAGTATTACTGGCTGAATCTGTGCAGCTGGCTTGCAGCTGAGCTAGATGTCCCAGCTGCAGTACTTACTGTAATAGGACTTCAGTGCACTCCTTTCCCTCTAATCCAAGCAAAACTGCCTCATGGAGAGCAGTGGTGTTGTCCCTGCGTAGGAGTAATCAACAATATATTTACTACCTAAAGAAACTGTCCTGATACATCGAGAGGTGGTCTACCAAATTAAACTAAGGAAAAGGAATATTTTGATATAGAATATGCAAGCAGCTCCAGTGATTTTTTTTTTTTTTTGGTAGGCTTTAGTTTGATTTATCATTTATAAGTTGAATTTGATGGGGGAAGGAATTGGATGGAACAGCAGGCTTGTAACTAAAATGATAAGAAAACTTCAAAACTGGGAGCTGAGAGAACTGAATACTATTACCTTTGTTCAGGTGTGGTTTTTTGTTTTTTGTTTTTGTTTTTAATTGGCTTTGAAAGTTTATCTCCTAGGCTACAGATTTGGGGAGGGGCACCAGGGGGCTAATCCTCTCCAAAATTGGAGCACAAGTTCCTTTTGGTATACCTATTGAAAAGACCCGAGGCAGAGAATCCTAGCTCACTTACAGTCCTGACTGCTGGTTTATATTAGCACCTTTCTGCACAAGAAGGGAGATTGCGTTAGCATGCTTGTGTTACAGACAGCTACAGTTAGAACAGGTTGTTCCTTGCTGTCAGTGCAGTTCAGGTCAGCTCCCTAGAACACACAGGAGAGGGGAAGCGAGCTGTTAAATGCTATAAAGATTGTCTGGCTTCCACCTTGCTTGAATATAATGTCAATTTGAGTTGGCAGATGGTCTTCATGCTCAATACAGAAAAGTGTTCAAACTGGGGTATTGATTCTTCTGAAAAAGTTGTTTCCTCCTAGCTCAAAACTAGAGTCAACGTATGCGACAAGGGTAATTAAATTGCACAGTCAGGAGGTACCTTACTACACAGCAAAAAGATAGGAGGTTATGCTTTCCTTTCCTATACAGAGGAGGACTTGAGGCTAAATTGTAAAATCTGTAACGTTTTTCTTTCTACTTGGCATTGTCAAAGCAAGAGGAGACTGCCTTAAGCACCTGCCAAATGGAAATTTGGGGAGAATATATATATAAATGTAAAATAGACTGTTTCTTATCTAAAACGCTCTTTCAACCGGATGATAGTCAGTTGTATTGCAAGGATGTTGCCTCCTAAACATGAAGTTGAAGTCACACGCGAGGCTAATATTCATGCAGTAAAGAGAGAGCTGGAAAGTGAAATTTAAGCTAGCAATAACTTACTTCATTGAGCAATTGTTCTACCAAAGCAATTCTTCCTTCCCCATTGGGACCCAGTTCTTTCAGTAGTTGTCTGGACTCTGGCTGTGGAAACACAGAAATCAACCAGTAACATTTCACATAGTGAAAATATGAATATGTGGACCATACGTTGCTTTTGAGTAAAGGTGGAAAGTGCACACAGTGGCATGACTGTAGCCAAGGGAAGGATGCAGCATATCCGAGTAACTCAACCTCAGAATTACTAACCCATGATACCTGTGAGAATTTCTTTCCGTACCTGAGCAAATGTTGGGTGATGCAGGCTAATGTCATACTGTTGAAGTCTTGATTCTGCAGATGCTTCTGCAAGTTATTAGCTTTATATCAGTACACTTATTCAGGGTTGTACAGTGATCAACTCACCACAACAAAATTAAGCGTGGGCATAAATTCTTTACTGTACAATGAAAGTGTGAAACCTCCAGAAGTTGTAGAAGTATTTTATTTAGAAAATGAGTATTTTTTTTAGTAGTATTTACCTAGATATATATTAAAGAACAAGTGCTTTTCTTTCTCTCCACCTTTCTTTCTGTTTCCTTCCTCTGCCCTCCCACAAGCCCAATCGCATGACCTGTTGCATTTTTATCCCAGGACTCAAGTATCATCCCCCTCGCCCTCTTGTACCCCTGGAGTTGACCAAGCGATCCAAGCTTAGATTACTGCATATTCCCCTTTGAAAAATTTCCATGCCATTATTGACAATCCTTTCAGTAGGCTGTGCTTTCACGGTATTTGGTCTTTAGGGGAAATAAAGCCTTGCTCCTTGCGTTAAGGTAACCCTCAGTTGCGCTGTCGTATCAGCTGGATAGGAAAACTGAGCGGGCTAAAAGGTTGTTGTGGTTACGTTAGATCAGCTTCCCCTGTCTAATTCACACTGTGACCGTGCAAACTGGTTCTAGCACAGCCAAGGGCATGTCCTAGGGAGTTAGATACCAGACAGCAAGGGTGAAGAGAAGATGATAATATCTCCATCCGATGTTGCTTCTGACAAAAGCCTATAACAAAATCAGTCTGCAATGGTCTTTATGCCTAATGCTGTATCATTAAAAGCAAAATGGGTCCAAAACAAGAGCAACAATTTAATTAAGCTCATAGAGAACAGGAACAAAGTTGGCCAGTTCCAGTTCTGTGATAAATGCCAGTCACCAATTTTTTCAGGTTTTATATGAAGGTGGACTTATGTCCCCTTTTCTTTTTCCCCGCAGTCAGTATTACAAGTTTTTTTTTTAACTCTTGGATGCCTGCCTTCATGTTAGTGCAACTCTATTGCTAAGTTTTCCTGTACTGCCAGAAAATACATACGGGGAGCTTATCTTCTTTTTCTGTAAGTTTTCTTGATTTTGTTTGCTTTATTTTGCTTCTTGAATGTGAAAGATGATGATCCTCTTCGTCTGCTAGAAAGGGAAAGCAGCGTTAATTCAACGCAAAGTCAGTATCCTAACAAGAACTCAGGAGTGCAGATCTGGAAATAATTTAATCCCCCAAAAATCTTTTGTTTTGGGTTGAAATGAAAGCAGTATTTATCATTTTTCTACAAGAGAGAAAGCGATGAAATATGTGTTGCGGACCAGACTGGTTTTAACAAAGGTTTACATTCAGGCAGACTTAAAAACCTGCTATTTTGCAATGAAGATTCAATGAAATTTGGAGCTTTGGGGGGGTTTGAGTCTCTTTTTTTTTTTTTTTAACTGGCTGCAGCTATTCAACAGTCTTGACTCAGATTCATGAATTACGTTGACCAAAATCCCTGCAATTTTTTTCAAAGTTGTTTAGTTCTGAAATACCTACGACCAAGACTAGAGGACCTTGAATAGATATGGATGTCCATTATTTTTAAGAGATACAATCTACCAATGTGTAGGAGAGTTGAAAAGCAAATTATACCACACATAGGGATCCTTTGGGCTGGTACTACTAGAGTGCCTAGGATCATGGTCACATCACTGATACTCTAGAAAACCAGGTCATACTTCCATGGCTGCCATTTGCGAAATCTAAGATCAGAAGTGCAAACTGGCAGGAATTTATATATTAATTGAAGTATGTCAAATAAATTTCTAAATTCTAATGCTGGCTTTATATATTCATGGTTGATGCAATGAAAATGAGAGTCCAATAGGAGTTACCTAAAGTAACAGTTGCCAATATGAGTTGCTGAGCTCCTACCGAAACCAGTGGGAGAGGCAAATTAAGCATCTCTGAAAACTAGCTCTAGATTTAATGTGTTTCATCATTTCTTACATTTGCCAAATGTAGCAAAGCTGGAGTTCCTAGCACAGCTCAAAAGTAAAGATAATGGCATTTACAGCTCCTATTGGAAAATAATATGCAAACTGTCAGAAGCTTTATCACTTGACTAAAAACACTGCAGTGAGCTATGGCTGCAGTTTACTGTTTTAGCTGTCCTCTAGGGATGAAACATACTCGTGACCTTTTGACAGAGTCTGTACGTTGCTTAAATCTCTGTTCAGCCACATTTTGAGACATAAGATGAACTTTCGTGGGCACAGAACATGCCGATATGATAGTCTGCTTGTCTCAGTATGTAATTTTAACCTTCCAAGCACTACTTCCCTATTCTTGACTAATAAGTTTATGATTGACCATAAAGACAGAAAAAAAAATCACCAAAACTAGCCTGACTGCCATCCTGTCCATCTCTGCCTTCTTTTACAGTGCTCAGGTAATGATTGCTGAACTTCACTGGTTTACTGGCAAGAGTATCCTGTAGAATCAAATGCAGGCATTTAATCAGATTATCGTGTAATGCTGTAATAATCTCAGTAGCACAAAACAGGTGTTATTTATCACCTAATATCATCAGTCTCAAATTAGCAGAAAACAGATGATTACCTGTAACTGAGCTCTTTTTGTTTTGAAGCAAGATAATACAGCAGATTTTTTCTAAACCATGTGTTTGTTTGGATTTAAAAAGTGACACAACCTCACTTTTGTGAAACCATTCTCATCCAAATGAAAGCATCTCTTCTGTTTGAGAGATCTGATTAATTCCTCACTTGTCAAATGAAGTGATATACCTTTTCAGTCACTGCTTGGCAAGGTAAGCTTTTTAAGATGCCACACAAAATATACAATCTGAATTCTGGATCTTTGAAATGATGGATTTTCATCTTTGAAAAAAATGGAAATAAATATGTGAGTGTTTTTTGGAACATGGTAATGCTGAAGGTAGGGATTTGGGGTGTTTGAATATTGTTATCAGGAGCTCTGGCAATTGTTATCTCCAAACTATTCAAAATTACTAAGCTTGTTTCATTAAGAGCATAACATGCAAACTGAAGAAAAGTAGGGTCAAAGATCAGGAGCTAAGTGATGCTAGGATGATTAAACACATCAGTTGAAAGAAGAATGTTAATATTAATAGCAAAATAATGAAATGCAAGGTAGCAACGTAACCATGGAGTCTGGCTTAATCAGATAAAGATTCCTGTTCAACCAGCTCTAACAGAAAAAGATTCTTTTCACTGAAGTGATGAGTTAACATCCTCTGAACAAAAAAAAATTATTGTACAGACCTGAATTTAAAAATATATCACGTATTATGCTGACTTGTCTAATGACAGCTTTAGACCAACTTTCTAACAACGGACCTCATCCCCCAAACTGACCTTGTTAATAGCAAGAGTGTAATTTAATGTAATAGTGACTTCACAGTCATCCTCATGAACTGTAGCAGAAGTAATCTAGAGGGAAAGAACAACTGTTAGTATCTCTTACAAAAGTACACAAATAGTTTTAGGAATAATCTTTGCTGATGGGCTGATGATCGTTATCAGCGAGCCAATTAAAAAAAAAAAAGTCTGTTGGCCTTTGCATAATTATCACAAAATCACAGAATGGTTGAGGTTGGAAGGGACCTCTGGAGATCATCTAGTCCCACCCCCCTGCTCAAGCAGAGTCCTCTAGAGCACATTGCACAGGATCGCGTCCAGGCGAGTTTTGAGTATTTCCAGCAAAGGAGACTCCACCACCTCTCTGGGCAACCTGTTCCAATGCTCTGTCACCCTCACAGTGAAGAAGTTTGTCCTCATGTTCAGATGGAACTTCCTGTGGTTCAGTTTGTGCCTGTTGCCTCTTGTCCTGTCACTGGGCACCATGGAGACGAGCCTGGCCCCATCTTCTCTGCACCCTCCCTTCAGATAGTTAAACAAGTTGATAAGATCCCCCTTCAGTCTTCTCTTCTCCAGCCTGAACAGGCCCAGCTCTCGCAGCCTTTCTTCCTAGGAGAGATGCTCCAGTCCCCTCATCATCTTCGTAGCCCTCCACTGGACTCTCTCCAGGAGTACCATGTCTCTCTTGTACTGGGGAGCCCAGATCTGGACACAGTACTCCAGATGTGGCCTCCCCAGGGCTGAGGAGAGGGGCAGGATCACCTCCCTCCGCCTGCTGGCAACACTCTGCCTCATGCACCCCAGGAGACCATTGGCCTTCTTGGCCACATTGCTGGCTCATGGTCAACTTGTCCACCAGCACGCCCAGCTCCTTCTCCGCAGAGCTGCTTTCCAGCAGGTCAACCCCCAGCCTGTACTGGTGTGCATAGGATTATTCCTCCCTAGGTGCAGGACTCCGCATTTGCCTTTGTTGAACTCCAGGAGGTTCCTTTCCGCCCAACTCTCCAGCCTGTCCAGGTCCCTCGGAATGGCAGC